GCATAAATGGAATAACTGGGAACATCAATAACAAAATTAATAATATTCTGAGCTACGAAAATCAAATTTACTGGCGTCAGTTTTCTATTATATTTTCAATTCCCACAACATGCCTGTTCAACTATACCAACCCCTTTGATACTCCAGCTCTGTCATTTACTATCTTCACTTCTCTCACACTGCCATACTGAGCAAAAAACTCCTTCAGGTCATCTTCACTAGTCTAGTACAGTAAATCAAGAGGGAAAGAAAAAAAAAAGGAAAAGTTGGTTTGCATAGTTATTCAATTAATATTTACCATAAGACTTTTAATGGATATACTTTGGATAAAGTTTGCTACAAACTAATTATAATCCTAGAGAGGAAGAGAGAATAATCAGCAAGTATGAGCCTCACAGCCCATTTAATTGCAGCATTTATTATTCAGCAATAATGCTAGAAAGCCATAAAATATTAAAACTCCTCTTTAGTAGATTTATCTAACAACTGCCCTTTCACATGTGGGACCACTGATGCAGGTTTGCTAGGGGTAGATTACTTGCTAGGGCAATTTACAGCATGAAAAAATCACTGCCACATTTTCAAACTCCAAAACACTACAGTATATAGGTTTCCGTAAAGCATACAGATATCTGAAACCCCCCCCCCCACTAAACCACAGTGACTTAGTGGCCAAATCCATAGAATACACCATGATCCCTCTCTCTGAAGTAGGTTTAATGTAAGACTGTCAACATGTATAGAACTCCCCCATTATAAGTAAGAAAAGTTCTTTCAATGCAGAATGGTCTAAATCAACATGGAAGGAACTGCTCCCTTCTGAGCATGCATGGAGTAAGACAACGCCAAGCCATACCTAAGCTATGTGAACACTCACCTACCTTCTACGAACCTTTTTTACAGTGTAAGCATGTGGGAGAATGTCTGATTGCTAATGGACATGAGCAATCCAGCCTTGCTAGCAGGGCCTGAGCAAGCTGCAAGCTAAGTTGGCCAAGGACACAGCTGCGGTTGGAATGTGAGAAAGAAGATAAACAACTCCTGGGTGCAGAACGCAGAAGTTGAAGATAGTTAGGGGTGGAGAATAATGGTTAGGCATTTCATGATTGATATGTTAATAACCAATTCTATTGTGTGTAAGGCAGACTAGTAGTAGTAGTTAACCAATAATAAGTAGGCAACCCTATAGTATAAACGTGTGTCTCTCCCAATAAAAGCAGTACAACAATCGTAACCGTATTGGTGTTTTGTTGTAACTCGGTGGCTGGCTCCAGCTTGGGGTCCCTCAACATAAGGAGATATCAAATATGGCGCCCTAAACACCACCTTTGAGATTTTCAGGTTTTGCTCTCCACAGTCCTTAGTTAATGCCAAACCTAACACTGGAAGAAGTACAGTTATATGCACGGATCACTCATCTATACTTTTCCTTACATTAAGGTATACCAGAAGTACTGTTTTACTTCGAAGTGAATTACCTGTGTTGTTTTTAATTGCATGTATACAATTGAGTAAATCCTCTCCAGCACATCAAAGGTTTCTCTGCCTCACCCAAGCCCAAGACTGATCACTGCTGAAAGCGTCCTAAAGGACATGAGGCATAGCTACACAAGACTATGAACTTGGAAAAGACAAAGGTTTATGCGCAGCGCAGTGTGGTAAAGGAGAATAAGAAGGAAATACTGTGCTAAGATACACAGTGAAATCTGCAAGAATCTGGACAAACATGGAGTCTAGAAGATCACCAGAATCATATTCAGGACTTGCTTTCTCCTGCTCATGATAAAGCAAAGGCAGTTGTCAAATTCTTAAGAAAGGTGAAGGCTTAGAACTAGCCTCTGTCAAAGACACATGACCTACACCACCAACAAAAGAGCTCTTCAGACCAAGACAAGACCATTCCCAACTGCAAATTCTCTTACCAAAATGTTATAGAGACCAGATGCTTCCTCTCACAAACAGAAATCACTGCTATGGTTATAGACTAAATGAAGGTGCCTGGCAAAACCATAAAAGAGCTTGCCGCTAAGCAAATACATTTTTGTTGATTAAGTGTCTTCCCTTTTCACAAAAAGAAAGCTTTTGTGTTCCCCCACGTGGCTTGAGTAAGACCTTTGGGGTAAAAAAACCAAACAACAAACCAATGCTTTCTGTCACAAGATTCCCAATAGAAAATAATCCAAGACTGACATATAAATCCTATGATTTGATCAGAAATTTAAGACTCTATTTGATATGGAGTCACAGCAAATGGAAGAGTAGCTAAAATGTTTATAGAGGTTCCATCCCTTCTATTTCCTCTCCCTCCCAAAAAACCATCCTTTTCATACTTATAAACACGCTTAAAAACTTTATTATTGAAATTAAGATTCAGAACAAAGTCTGAAGTAAGAACTAAACCAAGAAGAGACCGTTCAAGATGAACAAAAAGTACGACAATTAACAAGAATATTGATATGTTATGTAGAAGTGTTTCAGCCTTTCAAAGGGCAGTGAAGCTAGAACAGAGCAAGAGAGGTCCTTTTCATAGCTCTAGCAATTTGCTATTAATGCAAAAACCTACTGTGCCTCTTTGATAAAGCCCAAATATACCGAAGACCTTGTACAACATCTCTTAATTATCAACACCTCTATTTGAACTATCTCAGCCAAATGAGCCAGAAGGTCCTGGAATTTCTTGTATTTATTACGCAAAACAGTCTGAGTGAATTGTCAATTCTTGTTCCTCTTCAGATGAGTTAGCACTTAAAAGGTCCTCAGACTACAAGGATGAAGGCAGAGAAGATACTCTTGGTAGGAACAACTAAGCAGACCAAGCATATTTTGCTAAAGTCAAAGACTTAATTCGTTATCTGAAGTGGGAAGAAAAAAAGAATAGTGAGTAGCTGGTATAAAGGTCTGACAAGTAGTTTGCCACAAATTTTGGAAACGACTGAACAATGCAAGAAAGGCTCAATATTCACTGCTATCTGAGGGCTTTAGGGCATGTGCAAAGGCATTCTAAGAATTAATATCAGTACCGCAAATTACCACGAGAAAATTTCATATTTGCTTTAAAACAAACACTTACTTTTACATTTTTCCACGTTGACTTTTATAGGTTAACAAGTTATCATTTAGCAGGAAAAAAAACAGGAAAAAAAATACCTCAGAATCAAATCCTTTGACAAAGACACGGTTGGGAATAACTGGTCCAGTCCTTGATGACATAGTGTTGGACTGTGGAGACAGAGATTCTGACTGCATCTGGTCAGTGGCCTCCTGAGTGAAAGGAGATATTTTCAACATCTGACACCTCAGTCAGCAAATGAATAATTCTCAACAGACAATACATACAGAGTTATCTGTCAGGCACAGCAAATGCTGAACAACCGAGCACGAACCACCTATACTTATTCAGAACGCAGCTCAGTGACATATTTAAAGATAAGCTTAGTTTTAAGCAATCCAGTAACTCGGTGAATAGCAATTCAGCAAGCTAGTGAAGTCTGAAGTTTGATGTTTAACACCTTTCTGAATTAGGCATTTTGGGGCCTAGCCCACCAGTCTCGGTTCAGCCTGCCCAGCAAGGTATGAGGTGTATTTCAGAGATTATTCTCTATCTGTGAAGGATTTTAGCTCAACAGGTGCTCCCACACACCTCTACACAACTCTGCCCTCCGCAGCACCTTGGAGCTGACCCTAACTCACCCCAACCCCCAACAACCCCCACACGCCCCACGCCACAGCCGAGAGCGGGGCCCAACCACCAGCCCTGCCTTCAGGGCGGGTACGCGCAACTTCAGCACTTCTGCGGAGCGTTCAGCGCGTCTGACAACAGAGCTCCTGTTTTCAGGGTCGCGCTGAACGGTCGAGACAACCAAACCTCTACAGGGGAGTCAGCCCTGGCGCGGCCCGAGCGCTGAGGGCAGCG